TTTAAGAGATGGTATCTAATAAGTTTAGAATTCAAATCACATTAATTATCTGAAATCTCTTTTTTATCCTTAGATTGATATATTCTTTATAAAAAAAAATAAATCAGTAAACAAATTAGCACCTAACTAAATAAATTTAACATAATATCAAATTAAAATCACATACGACGAGACTTAAACTTAAAATTTCAAAATTCTAAACCTCTTTCTTATTAGCAAATAAATTATTGGCAAAGTACCATGATCATATCATTGTAGTTTTCCTTCTTTTTATGTTTTTCTCAAGGGTATCATATAAATCATACCCATATAAATCATTGTAGTTTCACTCATTGGACTCCCTCATCTAGTGGTCTCTGGAAAATCAACATTGATGGATCTGCCATTGGAAAACTTGGGTTCGTAGGAATTGGAGGTGTTATTCGCAACAGCAAAGGTGAAATGTAGCTTATGTTCTCAAAGAATATTGGTGTCAAAGATTTCAACTTAGTAGAACTCTTGGCGTTAATTGAAGCTCTCTAAATTGTGGTCAATGAAAATATTGACTTCATTCCTGAACTTATTACAGAAAGTGATTCGCATGTTGTTGCAGCTTGAATCAACAAAGTTAGCATCAGTCCTTGAAAATATAACGATCTTAACAAGTTGTATGATTTCTATTCTAGAGTGAGTAAAGCGGCATTTGTCCATATCTATAGAAAGGCTAATCATTTTGCAAATTCATTGGCCAAAATGGGTGTTCATAGAAACAATGACTTTGTAGCATAGCTGTAGCTTTTTTCCAGTAATAATATATATAACTCTTTTAATGTTCAAAAAAAAAAAAAATCATTGTAGTTTTGCTAGGAAAAATAGCGTTTTCCATTATAAATGTCTGTGGTTTTATAGTCCATTTTCTAGTAGTAATATTTGTCGATTAATTTAGGCTTAGCCAAGCTTTAATAAAGTAAATAATTTAAATATGTTAAGGAAGTAAAATTATGAATTTGAGACCATATATAGTAGAAGTGAAAGCAAAATTATACCCAATTTGAGACAAACTTACACACACATAAAATCATGTATGTGTGCCTACACTCGTGTGTGAGTGTCTATATATATAATTAAATTATAATATCTCAACATGTGAGTTAAGTTTAAAATATTTATTTTTTTATAAATATGATATCAAGTTATATAATGAGAAGTAGCCCTTCCCCCTTTTATAAATTTCATTTCAAGATTTAAATTGGGAAATTTCGAAATTTAAATCTTAATCTTTAACTTGTGAATGTTCCCTTAGGAACTTTAAAATTAGGGTTTAATCTCTCTCTCTCTCTCTCTCTATATATATATATATATGTATTTGCTAAGCCAAAATTTATTCAAGTAACAATAGGTTTGCAAAGCTTGTCAAGACCTAATCTTGGTCAAGGGTCAAAATTAACCCGACCCGGAGAAAGCACAACCATCATGGATCCCCTTTGGGCTAGCTATTGATATGGACCCCATTACGTAAGTTGTTTTCGACCTAAGTTTCTAAGGCTAATTTGGGTATGTTTCTTCATTTAGTTATGCCTTACATTTTTTTATTTTAATAATTGTGAATATGCATTTATTGGAAAATGAAATTGGACTTAAAAGTTTAATTAGGCTAAAAATTGAAGTTTGAGCCTCCATTGTTAAATTTGAGTTCTTAAAATTGGGCTTTGAAATTTTGATCATGAACTTTGTTATTTTTAAGCCCTATGACCTAATTGACCCAAATTAGATTGGATTGGATTGGATATTAACTCATATAAAATGAAATGAAAAATAAAATTAAAAATGATTAATCTAAAACAAGTACTAACAAATTAAATTTGATTTAATTTAATGTTTAAACTAATTTAAATAAGAACATGCAAATTAAACATAAAAATCGAATAAATTCAAATTGATTCAGATAAAATTGAGTGCTAAATCTTCATAAAAACTTTAAAATTAGGGTTTAATCTCTCTATATAATTGTTTTGTAATCAACCTCTATGGACAAAAATATATAATAAAAGTTTAATTTTTATGAGCATATCAAGTTGATATGAAAGAATACATATTCTTTAAAATCATTTTAAGAAAGATATTAAATTCAAACAAAACACGATAACATTAACAACTGAATATATAATGAGAAGTAACCCTTTCCCATTCTATAAATATTATTTCAAGATTTAAATATGGGACTTTTGAAATCTAGAATCTTAATCTTTAACTCGTGAGTATTCCCTTAAGAACTTCAAAATTAAGGTTTAATCTCTTTTTATAATTGTTTTACACTCAATTACTATGTACAAATATATATATATATATATATATATAATAAAAGTTAGATTTTTATGAAAAGCATTTGGTTGACATAGAAAAATATATCTTTAAAATTATTTGAAAAAAAAATAAATTCAAACAAAACACGAAAACATTAACAATTATACCATTGATGTTAAAAAAAAAAAAAGTGAATTATAACTTAAATTCACAAAAGAATTCGAAAAAAAAGTGAATGATAACTCCGTATGGATTGGAATAAGGGTTGTAATTTTATCTTAGATTTCAAATGATTCTCTTTTTGTTTTATTATAATTTATTTTGAGCCCATTTTAAAATGAAGTTATAAGGTAATTGAAAATCTAATCAATGAAATTGACCATTAAAAAAAGGCTATTCAATGATGAGTCAAAGCCTAGGAAAGTAAAGAAAAAAAAAATGAAGAGTGTGATTTAGACTAATGACTGCAGATGATTCACATTTTGACTTAAAGTTGAAAGGAAATATAGGTATCATTTCGTGTCCGCATGGATTGTATAGGTTGATATAGTTCAATTATATCCAAATAGAATATATTTAAAATTAGTTTTTTATTGGATTTAAGATTGGATAATGACGATTATTTTCGATTATTTTTAATGAGTGTAAAATATATTTTATATTTTATAATTTATAATTTAATTAATTTTAATTTAATAAAAATAAAATGAATGAATAAAATAATTTTTAAAGGTTAACTTTTTTTATTTTTTATTACAACTTTTTTTTATACTCTATTTTTTAAAATCAAAATTTATAAATATTTTAATCTATTTTAAGAAAGCAATTATACCTTTTCTATAAAGTTTAAGAATGTTAAAACTAAAATTAAATTTTTTTATATTTTTATTTTTATCTTAAAATTTTTTTATACTAAAAAATATTTATTTAAATATCATATAATCATATTAAGTATTTAAATATATTATGATACATTCATGATATTACTTGTTATCCTTTTAAACTTATTTATTTGGTTTTTGAAAATATTAATTTTTTATTTTGTATATTATTAATAGTATTATTATGTATAAATTTTTATATATATTTATAAATATATTTATATTAAATTAAAATTTTGAAATAATATATTAAAACATTATAATATCAAAAATATATATATATCATCTTTAAAAAAAAAAAACGAAATATTATACAATACGATATTAACGACCATGGAAGACATCCCAAGTAAGTAATTTACAAGGCCAGGCAACACGATAAATTTGGTACATTTTTTCTGTTAATTTAATAATTTGAAGAGCAAGTAATCTTGCCTTCTTGTGGACTCACTGCAACAAACAAACCATTGCCAAAGTGAAAACTTGCCTTCATTTCAAAACCAAAAATTTTCATATCTGCCCTTTGAAATTGACACCTCAACCAATAATAATACAAATTTAAAAACCTTTATAAGTCAGAACACATTAAATTATATGTTATGTTAAATGATTTGAACATGATTGATAAATATAATGACAGCATGTGGATAATTTATATTTTAAGAGTTAAAATTTATTCATTTAGAGTCACAAACTTATCCTATTATATTATATACTAAATTTTTTTTTAAAAGTTAACAATATTTGAGGGTTTAGTATGATAAGAAAAATATTCCCGAGCTGTTGTTTTCATCGACAATATGATGAGAGTCGTCACAAATATATTTTACGATTAAATCTTTGAACTTATTAATCATAAAACGATTTCATAATATATTAAAATTTTTCTTTGATTATATTGTTAAATAGATTTGTATTATGATATCAAAAAGCATTTTGTTTGGATTATTTGTATCATTATATTTTCAAAATTTTTACCATTCCTCTTCATTGATTTATTGTGTTCATAACATTATTTTTTGGTTTTGAAAAAAGAGAAATTTGTTAATAATTTATTTAGATTTAATATTCTCAAATAAATACTTTATAAGGTAGTAACATGGACTGAGGAAAGTAGAGTATTTAGACCCATTTAAGCCCAATCTTTACAATACAAAATTTAAGCCCAAAAATGGGCCTATACAAAATTTAGGCCCAATAGATTTTTATTTAATTTTATAAAAGGATATGACTTTGGCATGGATTTGAAAGCCCATTGAAGAGCCCTTGATTTCTTCAAGAATCGTCGATGACGAAGAAAAACTTGCTTTTGAAGTAAAATCTTTATTAACTTGAAAATCATATTATAATTTATTTGAATTTGAATAGTATGAAATTTAAATTTAATTTAATTATTATTGAATCAAATTAAAGTAGTTTGATTTATTGAATAAATCAAATTCGAGTTTTTTAATATTATATTTGAATAATTTATGAATTTAATTGAATTTTATATTTTAATATATGTATTTTTATTATTTTAATTAAAAAATTATTATTTAATATTTATATCTACAAATTTGAATCTAAATTTAATTTTGAATATAAATAATTAAATTTATAATCAAATATGATAATAAAATTTTTTTATTGATGAATTAATTTAATTAAATAAATTCAAATAATTTAATTTTTATTTTGAACTAAACTCAAATTTAATTTGAATTTGATCAAATTCTAATTAAATTTCCAATCATAAATTTTTAATCAAATTAAAATTTAAGTTTTTTATTATATGGAATGACTCAATTTGACTAGATTTCTAATCTCGATCTTCCATGCAATAAAGCCATTGAAAATTTCAAAGTAAAAGTTCCATGCAAACTTATTTATTGTCTTAAAGCACAAGAGATGGAATATTCGAAGAAGAAGACGATAATATATGTGGATAGAAGGATATGAGTTTAAGATCCTTCAAATCCATTGCAACCATTTGATTGGCTGATTTTTAAACCCTCAAGTCCCCACCACAATTCCTTACCTCTTCTTTTCTCCACCACCCATTTCTTTGATTCTTTCATATTCTTCTTCTCTTCTCCATATATAAAACTTTCAGTTCCTTTTCCATCCATTTTCCAGTTGAAATTAACTCAACAAAACAAAAAAAAAACACAGCCTTTGACTCTGAGAGACAATGGCTTCAATGCTTAGCTCTGGAACTGTCCTTAGGCCATCCCCATTTCTTGGCCAAAACAGAACCTCAAATGCTAACCCTCTCAGAGATGTACCTACGGGCACTGCCAAATTCACAATGGTAAAGTTCTTCTTCTTTTTTTTTTTTTTCTTTGCTTAGAATTTCCTCCTGGGATTGAGTAGTTTTAATTTGTTTATTGGTTTTTGCTTTTGGGGTGCAATGTGTAGAGCAATGAATTGTGGTATGGACCAAACAGAGTGAAGTACTTGGGACCCTTTTCAGCTCAGACTCCATCGTACTTGACTGGAGAGTTCCCTGGTGACTATGGATGGGATACTGCTGGTTTGTCAGCTGACCCTGAGGCCTTTGCCAGGAACAGGGCTCTTGAGGTAAGCTCCAACTCTCAAGATCCACCGCCATGGTTTTATAAGAAATAAGAAATCTTTTAGCCTTAATCTTTGTTACCAAACAACATTTAGGTGATCCATGGAAGATGGGCAATGTTGGGAGCACTAGGCTGCATCACACCAGAAGTCCTTGAGAAATGGGTTAGAGTCAACTTCAAGGAACCAGTGTGGTTCAAGGCTGGAGCTCAAATTTTCTCAGAAGGTGGCTTGGACTACTTAGGCAACCCCAACCTTGTTCATGCTCAAAGCATTCTCGCAGTCCTCGGATTCCAGGTCGTCCTTATGGGACTCGTTGAAGGATTCCGCATCAACGGTCTCCCTGGTGTCGGAGAAGGCAATGACCTTTACCCTGGTGGCCGATACTTTGACCCTCTTGGCCTTGCTGATGACCCTGTCACATTTGCTGAACTCAAGGTGAAAGAAATCAAGAATGGCAGGCTAGCCATGTTTTCTATGTTTGGTTTCTTTGTTCAAGCCATTGTCACAGGAAAAGGCCCCCTGGAGAACCTCTTGGACCACCTTGACAACCCTGTTGCCAACAATGCTTGGGTCTATGCTACTAAATTTGTGCCTGGATCGTAAATTAATTGCCATAGATCAAACTTGTTCCGTAATTTGCTTGTGTGGATTAGAATGGAGATGTATCTATGTACTTGTAGATTTTGAAAATCTTCTGACAATTCAAACCCTGTATCATTGAAATTCAATGTAATTCACGATCAAGTGCGGTGCAGGGCTTGATGTAGATGAATTGCTCAATCTAAACTCATCTTTAGTTAAACGCTTGGCATAAATCTACTCCTACAAATGAAGACATCACCCAAATATGGAGAAAAAGAACTGAAGCTGCATCTACAAATTGTTTACAAGCCCCCAAAAATGTCTTCCAAAGCTCTAATTTCCTGTAAAATAACTATTTCGGTATGGTATGACAAAACCAGCAATCTTCAGTTCATCAACCCTGAACCCACCAAATCAGTGTTTTGCGAACATCCCGTGTCAATGACGAAAAATCATAAGCCTTTCCCGATAGTGAAGAATTCCCCAATGGAACTGAGGTAGCTGATTGAGGTAGGCTTGCTCCAGTAGTCGCAAGACCATTTGCTGGAGTAACTTGCCCCAGTGCATAGAAGCTGCAAGAAAAGAGACAGCAGAAATTAGGAGCATGAAGTAACTTACGGTTGAAATTTGTAATCTATTGAATAGTTATTTATCAGAATACATCAGTGGCACAGGATTCTCAGAATTCAATTAGAAACTTTACAGTGCATTTAAAACCAGCCGGAGATTAAGTATATCACAGAACTAGCCTAAAACTCATGGCAAAGTAGGTAGTATTACAGGAGAAAAGCATCGACAGAAACGGAAATGAACTTTGACAAAACCAAGAATGTTAAATATCTACCTGGATGATGGATATGCAACGGAGTTTCCCACTTGTTGTGTCTGTCCCATTTTCATCATCTAATGAAGCAGTAAAACAAGTGCAAATATGAGAAACTTTCTAGATATATTTGTTTAAAAGCACTACTATTGCAACTATACTATGGAGTCTACCTGCGTAAGTTTCTGCAGATCAGCCTGCCCAGCAACCGGCATCATCATTCCAGGGATTTGACAGCCAATGTTTAGCCAAGTTTGAGTGGGTATACTTGTGCCGTTGGATGGAGGCTTTTGAGTATTTCCAGGAGCAGATTTAACTGCTGCAGCCATGAGAAGGGACTGTTGCTGTACTGGCAGAGCTAGTTGTTGTTGATGCACTGCAAAAGGCAACATCATATTGGACTGTAACCGATGGAAAGCATGATATCAACAATGTAAGAAAAAATATCATGCACAATCACATATTGAAGTTTATCAAGAAACATGTGATAACGTAAGGAATAATATGATTAGCACCAACCAGTAAATGATATAAGTTTTACACCAAGGGTTCCTAAGATGCAAGTAAATGATGTCGAAGATATACCTTTTCAAAAAGGCTCATAATATCATTTTTCAAGTCTTTTTGGGGCTTCTCTGGGACTTGGTTTGTTGTTAATGGAGGCCAATCATTAAATAAATCCTCAATTCCAGTAGTAGACTGGGTATTACTTTAAGCAGCTTTTGGTGGATCGGTTTTGTCAGTCATGGGAGCTTCTCCAGCAGCTGCAAATTATCATGTGTCCAAATCAATGGCAATAATAAAATGCTACAGCCATAACTCTCAATTCCCAGGTGGTTGGCACATGGCAGAAAGCATGTTGATAAGATAATAAAGTAAAATGCAAGATGATGCCAATAAACAAAAATTACAGGGAAATTTTAGGAGATACACCGGAAACCTGTCCAATTATTATCATCAGTAGAAGCAGCCCTTGAACCATTTTCACTTGTATCATCATCCACAGACAGCATGTTGAAAAGGTCAGTAGCATAATCGAATTTAGGGGGTGTGGCAATGGGAGCAATCTCTACAGCCGGCTTTGTTGCCTCAGCTGGTGCAACAACTGGTTCTGTTTTCTGTACAACTGGTTCAGGCTTCTGGATGGGTGTAACTGTGTAACCTGTTAGATCAGCACATTATGCGTTATCAAATTAAATTTCTTTGAGAACATATAAATAAGAGAAGTAAACTACTTGAAAGAAATACAATAGAGACAGAAGCAAGAAAGCAAGTTGAACCATGCACAAAACTGATTCAAGATCTTAGTTCTAATTGATACTATTTATTTGCAACTTTAGCAAGCGAGAAGCTATCTTTTCCTCTGGCATTTTTCTCATACTTTTTCATTCCAACACCAATAGCTCTCAGTTTGTTCACATAAAATACATTAAGAGTTATTCTGGAATTTTTCTCATACTTTTTTCATTCCAACGATAATAGCTCTCAGTTTGTTCACATAAAATACACTAAGAGGAAAAAATGAATAACAGTGGTTTTCTAGACAGAGTTAGAAAAAGCACTTAACCAGCAAAAGAACTTATATCTGATCAGGGCCCTTAGGAGGAACAGGAAGACTAACTCTTGTTGTAGTAAGATTTTCTTTTCTGCTAGATGCTTGAATATTCCTCTTTTCCTCAAATAAATTCTCAGAATTACTAATGTGCCCATGACCACGTTTTTCCACAGGTCTCTGCCAACATGAAGGAGCCCTTTCATTCCATCCTCTAGGTGGTGATTTGGATTTTCCATCTCTAGGAACCCATCTCTCTTCCTTATACCTGTAAGAATATACAACAACAATCAGAATAATACCAAAAAAGAAAAAAAACTCTGCACTATAACTAAATTAAAAGAAAATCAACAGTGGATTACAGATAACTGTGCGTGACATACTTACATTGAATAAAAGCTACCTGCTCAGGGAGCCATGCATCCAACATAGCAGATCGAACCTGCAGCAAGAGCCAGTAAGATGCATGCATACATTTGGGAAAAATAAATTGTATTCTACTAACCATAAAACAACATTTAATAAGGGATGGGTAACATTGCAGAACGGAAAAACATGTTTAGGAACTATAAGATAAAAGTTTTCTAGGATAACTGTTGGCATTGGAGACAATTTGAATGACTACAGGATCACCTAGATAAATTGGAGAATGAAGACAATTCAAAGGCCAAAAGTGTCTTTATGCCTATTGCAAAAAAGCTCCAGAATTAGTCAGTTACCACAAAAAAAAGCTTGTCACTTCAACCAGTAAATCCCTAACCTCTCTAATCCTTTTAAGTCTTAAGACATTATCATAAAAAATTGAACACAAGAAAATATGTAAAGACCATTTCAGGGCACAAAATTTTGTTTCCTAGACTGCAAGGGCACCAATCCAATCAAAGTTGTGACAAACCATACCGCATAAGCGAATGAAGTACAGAAGTTGAGACAGTGTCAGCAACTCAATGAACTTTCTGAATCAGGAAGGGATAAAGTATGCATTCCAGAGATAAGAAAAGAAACTTTGATATGTGAACCCCAAGACTTCTGTGAATCCCAGAACATTGCATGCATATAAAGATACCTAAATTCACACTTGCCCATCTTGGACCTCTGCAGCAAAATGAAGCAATTATTAGCACCAATGATAAGAATGAATGATATCATCACTGATTCATGCCAAAATCTATAAATATTCCACTGTATCAAGCATTTCTATTTTAGGTACTCGTTCATTTTCTATTATTATATCCACATCATCTATCTTGATTTTTCTTGTTACATGCTTGGCTTTGCAGTCAGCACATTCCCTATTCTCCAGCAATTTAAGAAGACCTTCAAGAATCTGCATATGAGTGAGGTGAATGAATAAGAACTTTAATTCAGATAACCGACTGGTTGAACATCAAAATTGATGAAATATGGCATAACTAAAACCATTGATCATATGAGTCTATCATATTATATAGATTAACGTAAACAGACGATAACCTAATAAATCAGGAGAACATATATATATACACAGAATATGGAGGGATTTAACACCCTCCAAAAACTAATTCCAATGCCTTAATGCCGTAAAAGAAGTTTGTGTAAAATTGCTCCTATGTCCAAAAATCGACCTTTCAAAAGTTTTACTTATATGAATAAATCAATCACAACCAGCAGCAGACATCACTTACATCAAACTGCAAACCTGAAAAGGATATTAAAAGGAAAAACATACAACAACAACAACAAACTAAGCCTTATACCTCATAACTCTAGGGTCAACTATATGAAAGGCCAAAAAAAGAATCATGTTAGGTCGTAATTTTGAATCTTCTTGCACCACTTATCGTCTACTTCTTTAACCTTCATATCATTTCTTATTACTTACGTCTAAACCTTTCATGCTCTACATTAAAAGGAAAAGCATAACATAATTAGGCAAAAAACTCGAAGCCTATAAACAAAACTGATTGAGGAAAACTGAGCTTAGATCTCCCATAATAGGAATATAATATAATATATGATGCTATTCAAAATACAATTTTTAGCTGAGGAAATTCCATTAATCTCAATGAATTTTACTAACTTGATCTATCTAAAACGATCTTAATCCGATAATAATTTTAACATAATCACCATTCACTCCTATAAAAAAGCCTTAATTTGACATTCGATTCCATCAAATCCCTTAAAAACGGGGAATTCAAATCAAGTACCAACAAATTTAAAATCAGGCGAAAAGCAACAAAAAAATTTATATAACAAACACAGATCAAATCAATTCAAAGTCGAAGCACAAGGCAGCCACGAAAATGGAATAGAATCGGAAACAGGACAAGAAGGTCAAAAAGGTAAATTTAGGATCACCTTTCGGTGTTTCGTATTGAGCTCCATGGAAAGGTTGACCTTCTCGTTCATGTTTGAGAAAAAAAAATCTACGGCAAGATATTGACGCGAAGAAGAACAAGAAGAAGAAAGGGTAATTTTTAAAGAAAGACAACGCCAATTTCGTCTTTTCGCACCTCTCTTCCTAGCTTCTTTCCCGCTCTCTCCTTCGGTTCTTGCTCTCTCGCTCTGATTTTATGCAACTCAAAAAAAAAAAAAAAAAAAGAGAGAAATTGAAAAACGAGTCTTGCAACAATTTTAGTTCCGCAAAACGCTGCGTTTTATATAGAAGGCATAGGGTATTATTTTTAAGGGTAAGAAAAAATTTAAGAAATATAAAAATCAATTTGAAATAGTAATATTTGATTTGGTTTAATTTGATATTTTTATTTAATTCAAATTAAGATTGAATATTAAATATTTATATTAAATTCGGATTAAATTTTAGATAAATTAAAATTTTTAAATTTTAAATTATTTTTTTTTAATTTTTAAAAAATAAAAATAATAATTTTATATCAAATTTTACTTAAATATATTAAAATAATATATACAAATTAATAAAATTAAAAATTAAAAATCAATAAATTAAAATAAACCAAACTAATAAAATTATGATTGATTTAGTTCGAATCGAATAAAAATTTGATTCAAAATTAAATTAAATTTTATAATTTTATAATATTATATAATATTTAAAAATATTAAATCAAATTTTATCCAAATCGAATTATTATAAACTCTAATTATTTTCACAGAATTATAATTACGGAACTCTTTGAGACAACCTCTGTAACTGTAAGTTTCCCTTTCTCTCGCTAATTTTTTTTTTCATGTTTGATGTAATTTCAACTCTTTTTTGGATAATAAAGTAAAAAACTATCATTTATACATTGCATTTATGACTAATTATTAAGTATCTGACATGAATTTGGTTTTATAATTTTTCCAATAAAATTTGCGTTTATTTGTTTATTTTTTTATATTAAAGTAGAAATCATACGGGCATGTATGTAGTTGGATTCTGTAAAATTTTTTATTGGCTTAATTTAATGACCCAGATGAATATTTGCTAGTATAATTCGCATAAACTAATTACTTTCAATATATTCCTTGACTTTTGAAGAGAATTGGAAATTTATGTTATAACTAGGTGTGATAATTTTAGATATGATATATGAAAAATGATATAAAAAAAGATGATATGGTTTAAAATTGACAAAAATTACATATGAATTTGATAAAAATAAAAAAAATTATATTTCTTGTGTGGTATGTTGACATGAATCGTATCATAGTAATTTTAATGTTTTACATATATTAACTAGAAACAAATACAAATGGATACACAAATTATTTGGTCTTGTTATAACCCAAATTTTGTTTTTTCAGGCTTGATGGTTTGTTTGTTTAGTTTTTGTACTGTCATGATGGGATGTTTCCAACAATTTAAGGGAAATTGTGGTGTTTTAGATCAAACTATGGAGGAAAGTGAAGGTACTAACCCTAGAGTTCGATGGAAGCAAATAGGGTATGAAGAGAAGACCACGACAGTCCAAGAAGAAATGAAAAGAATGAACCGGCTTCCTGAGACTAGTTCTTATGTTACACAACGCTTGCGAGTTCTTAACAAAATTCTTCAACTTTTGTCCATGCAGGTAATCATGATATTGCTGGCTTGATTTATGTTTGTAAGGATGCTTAATAAATAAAGTTGGCTTGGGAAGTTGCATGAGAGATTAGTAGAGAGAGGGATTTGATGCTTATTGCCTTCTTTGTTTATGCTAGAACTGCTTCACGATAAAAGGAGTTGGAGTTGCTTTTTGCTGGGCCGTCTCTATGAACTGGCTCATCTAGACAATGGTAAACTTTTGATCTCTTGATATTGTCTTTGGCCATAAGGGTGATTTTTGTGCTTTATGTTGTAAGATGGTTAGTACTAGCTTATGTAGAATTCTTGATGGGATTGAAATAAGCTCCCGATTAATCCACATCATTTAGTGCTCATACATCTTATAATGCATCATAACTTGCTGAAATTCTAGTTATGCACACCATAACTTGTCGTAAGCTACCAACTAATCCTTCCACTGCATTAGGTATAGTGAACTAATACTCACGCCAACGGTTGTTAAATGCATTTGTTCCTCCTTGTAGTCTTTTATATCTGTGAAATTTTTGTTAATTTCTTTTAAAACTGTTAAATATTTCTCTTGCAGGTTAATTAACATCATGGCAAAGTGTCTAACCAAGGATCTCTGTCTTCAGATAAACACGGTCCAACTGTTGTATATTGTTTAATGTAGAGAATGAATATCTGATAGTCTAATGAGTAATGCTTGTGTCTTGTAGCCATCTAATGACATGCCTTTTGGAATGTTTGGTTAGAGAGATGGGCTTTCTTTTCTAGTCTTTGTTCAGTAACCATCTGGGTAAACCTGAAACCTTGTGTGTAGGTTATATACTAACCATATCGAAAATCTTTGGTCATAAACTTGTGTTTGTGTTATGATTTTCATCTTAGTTAATTACTTCAGATACTATGTTGAGTCAGTAAGATTTTAAGCTCTTTGTTTTTGGAATCTTCTTCTTTTGGCTTGATGAGGGCTCTGGTGAGAAGGTCCCTTCTTGGCGAGACAGGTAGTTTTCCAGTGTTTCTTCTTTCTGGTGCAAAAACAAGCAGCTGCAAATTTCCGAACTCCCATACTTGAACCATTTGCTTTTAGCACTTCTGCTAAAAGCTAAGAGATGTCAGAAGCACTGTTGAATGCATAGGGTTTGATAAGTGATAACAAGAAGTCAAAGAATGAGAAGTCCAAGCAACAGGAACAAGATTTGAAGAAATTGCAAGCCACAGTGAGCAGACTGGAGAAAGAAGTTGGTGTTCAGTGTGAGCAAGCAGCGACCAAAGAGCAGGCTGTCGAAATGAAGCGTCAACAACCAGAAGGTAAGAGTCAAGTCTTCTCGGTTGAAGGTTCTTCCTCATCTGTAGCCATTTGTGGGATGATTTAGAAGTTCTTGCAGGCTGATGCAGGAAGAACCCTATCTGAAGGAATATCCAGTAAGATCGATGCATCATTGGTCATTGTATGAATATTTCTTGTTTCTGATATGTTTGTGAACTCTTGTCAGAATGATAAAAGTTGTGAATGTCCTGATAAAAAATTAAATAAATATCAGAAAGGATATATTAAAGCAACATTTCCAGATTCCCTTTTCTTCCTCAACTCCTATCTCATTTCCCGAATATAGATAGTGATAAATCAATGGATATTTAACCCTTTTTTTTTCTGGATTATCACAGCAAAGAGCTAATCAATGATGCTTCTTTCTTGCTACTGGAAACATAAAACATGATTCCAATTATGCACTTGTGATTATGACGTAAATTTGATAAGAATTAAAGGATATACAAAAAAACTGTCTTATAATAGTTTTGAGCATAGGAAGGGATCCTTTGGGGAAGGGTTTACACATGTTCTGATCTCCTTGAAAATTTTGGCCGGAATCTTGATGAGCAGCAAGGAGTTCCTGGACTTTTGTCCAGTAAATCCTCTCCCTGGACTGGTTTAGGCAAGTTTATTTACGTCAAGCCTAGTAAATTCATTTGAAATTACCTTATAACAGTCTTCCAACTGATTCGAACCCAAGCACACTATCTTTGCCATTTGAGCCAAAACCATCCGTTGGGGATGTGATACTCAATTTTGATTGTAAAATCATCTTAACTTATTATTCTGATGATAGATGATGTTAATGAAAATGCCTGATTCATCATGCCCTTTGTTCTGTGTTCTTTATAACACTCAAAGCAGAATCTATTCCTGTTAATTGTTGTATATCAATACTGCTACTCATATATGTTACTAGTACTTTGCCTGCTGGTATTGTAAACGTAAAGGCTGTCTTTCCCGAGTGTTATGAAAAAGCATTGTGCTTTAAACAACTAACAGTTTCAGCCTCATTGAATCCTTTTGGTTTTCTAATTGCAATGCTTTTCTTTTTCCACTCATCTTGCATCCGATACCTTACCTCCATGATTTTTCACTTTTCTTACAAAAGAAGCAAAGCTTTTAGCAGGAATTTTCATACACCTTTTCATTTCTGCTCCCATTCACGATTGCAGTTTGTTATCTTCTCGGCTTTTCTGGTGTTTTACTTTTCAAGCAATTTGCTGTGTCAACCACAAACGGCAGGTAATTACCCTTCTTATAAATTATTGCTTGAAAACAGCAGGTAATCCGAGTTGAAATTGCTCACACTTGCATTTGTTTAGATTGGTTTATTGTATCCTATCCATGGAGATCAGTTCTAGTCTGTTTGTTTTATGTTTTAGTTAACTTCTTTTCTGTGTCTTTAGAATTTGCATGACCCTCCAAATTCAGGCTAATTTTCTGAAAACCTTTATTTTAAGTTTGTCTGCAGCAATTGTTTATTAACCACAACACAATGATGTTTAGTAGATTTTCTTGATTCCCAAACGTCAGATTATCATTAAAAGTAAAAGGATAGAAAATTAGATCACATGAAGATGATATAGAATAGAATTCAAATTTTTTAAGTTGAACGGTACAAAAGAGGTCGCAACCTAGGGATAGAAGAAATGGTTGCAGACTCAGGAATTTGAACCTAAACCTGCTAGAAGCCACCTCTTTAAGGTGACTGCCTGAACTAACAGATTGAGTTATATTAAATGTTTAAAATGCATGTATATAATGCAGAATCATTTGTACAGACAGATATGGATGTAACTTGTCTCTTCCATTATCAAAATCTTTTAAATCTAATTTTCTATATCCGAGAAACTTATAATCCTTTTCATTAACTTTGAATATTAAGAAAAAACTACAGGTAACGGTTTGTTAATTTTAGTAAATTTTTACTTTGTTTAGTTCAGAATCTACATTCTTAGATACTATTTGCCTTCTTGTCATTTCAGGTATTCTTCAGATACTCGCCTATGGCTTCATTCTTCTTTGTTTTTGAAACTGCAAAGATTCTATTTGCCCCAATTGAAAGATGTTTGAACTGTAAAAGAAATCTTGATGAAAATATGAAGATTATGAAAAAACTGTTGAATGAGTTGAATAGTCTAAAGGAAGATATTGAACTAAGAATAAGTGCAGAGTGTCAAGCTGGGGCAATGCAAACAGAAGAAGTAAAAAACTGGTTAGAGGATGTTCAGAGGATCAAAACTGAAACTGAATTCATTGAAAAAAAGGCAGAAGAAAAGAGATTTCTGTCTCGGGCGTTCCTAGGAAAACCTGTTGAGGAAAAGATTGTGGAACTCAAGGCATTTGTGAAGAAAGGTAAAACATTTCTTGGCTTGGTCAAGTATTTCAAGTACATAATTGTTGGTGGTGGAGTTGCAGCAGGATATGCAGCAAGGGAGTTTGATCGGCAAGGCCTTGTGCCGGGAGAATTGGCGATTGTTTCCAAAGAGGCTGTGGCTCCTTATGAACGTCCTGCACTGAGCAAGGGATACCTGAATCCGAAGGGAGCTACAAGACTGCCCGAGTTCCATGTCTGTGTCGGAAGTGGAGGAGAGAGATTACTTCCAGGATGGTATAAAGAAAAAGGAATACAATTGATACTTGGTACAGAAATAGTGAAGGTAAATCTTGGTTCGAAGACTCTGATAAGTTCCAGGGGAGAGACCTTTACGTATCAGACTTTGATAATTGCAACCGGTTCAACAGTAGTAAGGTTGACAGATTTGAAGGTAGAAGGAGCTGATGCCAAGAACATCTTCTACCTGAGAGAACTTGAAGATGCCGATAAGCTTACAGAATCAATTAAAACAAAGAAGAATGGAAAAGCTGTGATTATTGGAGGAGGATACATTGGTCTTGAAGTTGGACCAGCTATGAGAATCAACAATTTCGATGTCACCATGGTTTACCCTGAGACTTGGTGCATGCCTAGGCTTTTCACCGCAGTTTTAGCCGCATTCTATGAAAGTTATTATGCAAACAAAGGGATCAAAATTATCAAGGGAACAGTGGCAGTTGGCTTCAATGCTAAATCAAATGGAGAGGTGAAGGGAGTGAAACTCAAGGATGGTAGGGTAGTTGAAGCTGACATTGTTGTTGTTGGTATTGGAGCAAGGCCCCTGACAGCATTATTCAAAGGACAGGTTGAAGAGGAGAAAGGCGGAATCAAAACTGATGGATTCTTCAGGACAAGCATGCCTGGTGTATATGCTGTAGGAGATGTGGCTACTTTCCCAATCAAACTATACAATGAGATGAGAAGAGTTGAACATGTTGATCATGCCCGCAAATCAGCTGAGCAGTCTGTCAAGGCAATCAAGGCAAATGAAACCGGGAAAGAGATCGAAGAATACGATTACCTTCCATTCTTTTACTCTCGTTCCTTTGACCTCTCATGGCAGTTCTATGGGGATAATGTTGGTGACACTGTGTTTTTTGGAGACAACAATCCATTATCACCAAAGCCAAAGTTTGGGTCCTACTGGATCAAAGATGGAAAGGTGGTAGGAGCTTTCCTGGAAGGTGGGACTTCTGAAGAAAACAAGTCTATTGCAAAAGTTTCTAGACTCCAACCTCCAGTTGAGAACTTGGATCAACTTAAAAAGGAAGGTCTTTCCTTTGCCAGTAAGATTTAAAATGGGACAAATTCAACGGTTTGTGCTTGTAATTGTATGTGTTTGTTTTTGTACCTGTTACTCACCTATTTACAGTTCATGGCTTGTATTTGCACTTGGTTTGTTTAATATTGTGCTCTTGGATTGATTGCAATGTTCCCAAACCTGATTTCCCTGAATTCAACTTCATCAGTTGTGTTATTTGTTCCACACTCTTGCTCATACTTGATTTCATGATAGAAAGGGATTGCATTCTTTAGCTAAGCATGAAAAACCAATCATTTCAAACAGGAAAGATTGCAAAGAATCCGAAAGTTAATCTAATTAGCTTATGCAATCATCTTTAAGATCACAATAAATGGTAAAACACATTAGCAAAATTTTTTTTATACATAAAAAATCATAATTTAAGGATAAAAAAAAATTATAAGTATTAAGATTCAAATCTTATATTTTTATTAAATGTTATTTCATAAAAGTGATTACATAAATCAATTAAATTAAATTTTGAATTCACGTTAAACAATTTTTGGCTCTATGGGTTTGTTTACTTGATATTCATGCTTTATAAACCATCTTTGATGATTAATTTTAATTTTACATAAACTTCTTACAATAATACTACCCTGTTTTTTTCAGTTTCTAACAGGCAGAAGTCAACCATCAAGCAAAATTACATAGTTAGAATAAATTAAATAAGATTTTATTTTTTTTATTACATAGTTATACCTAAAAACCTGCTCTTTACGTCTCATTTTCCTTTCCTTCATTTTTACATTTTAAAAAAATGATTTTAATATATTTTATACTTATTAATATCAAAATGCAATTGAATTTAAAAAAAGAAAACAATATAAAACAAAACACAAGTTTAGAATATTCATAAAAAAATGAAATATATTGACCAAAAATAAAATAAAATAAGGCTTTTAAGTTTTAAAACGTGCATTGACTAGGCCAAATAGCTTCGGTTCTGATTTATCCGAGTCCTGTTTCCTCTGTGTCTCTTTGCAGTTTTCCATCATATTCATGCCTGATACCATCAAAACTGACGTATCTCATAACGTGTTGAACTCTATTTGCCGCCACACGATTGGAAGTTTCCTGATGAACCTCGCTAAATTTGCGGTTGAGTCCGCCATCAACGTCTCCCACAAAGGCTTCACTGGTTCGTTTCTTTCTCTTTATCCTCATCTATTCTCTAGAATTTTACATCAATTACAGCTTGCTTTGTCTTGTTTTGTTCATTTTTTGCTTATGATCACAATTATATTTTCTGGGTTTCATTTTTTTAGCATAACAGAGCCCAACCCTTGTCAATTTGATCGTTCAACAGTCCAAATTAAGCTAAAAAAAAACTGAACCATGTTTTTGTTTTGAGTAAATATATGTTCTCGAATCGAACATGAATGAACTTTATTATGTTCGTGATTTGTTCGTTTAATTAAAAAATCCTGAATCGCTTCAGTCACCAATTTTTCATATGCGAATGATTTTGTTCCAAATTTTCTTTATTACTATCATTTGTGTTGGTTCTTTGGTTTGATTATTGCAGGTGGGAAGAAACTGTACGGGACTTTTTTGCGGGAAAAGTTTGAAGATCAGCCAACCAGATTGAAGCTGGAAGATGTCAAGCTGATTGAGCAGGAGAGGCAATTGGCAAAGATGGAAGACATGAACGAGGTTAAGCAACAAAGCAAGACAGTAGCAGGCAAAGCTGATAGAGGATCAGAGCCTAAGAAGAAGAAGAAGATACCTCAAGGGATAAAGGAAATGGAGCTTCAGGATCCTAACAGGAAAAGAATTTTCATTCGTTCTCGTCTGTAAACTACTAGGAAATTGTGCTGTTTCATCTCATGCTTTTTCTGAAACAGAGACAATATCTTTTAATTCTGTTGAAATTTTCCCTTTTTTTTTTGTGATTAATTGCAAATTCCAATCCCTCTCCCCTTTGGTAAAATTTACTGGAAATATGTGATTTTTTAGCTGAAATTTCACTGTTTCTTCAAGCTAAAGTCCAGTGCTGTGGAATTTCTCCAGGATGTAGAACTAGTGAGTCTAGCTAGTTCTTGGAAACTGCAATTTTTTAAAAAAAACTTAGTGAATTTTAGCAGACTATATATTTCAAGCAAATCTGCAATAAAAATTTATGTCACACAATATTTGGTATTTGACTATTTCTCATGAAAATGCAAGTCCAATGAGTTTCTATATTAATTCTTTACTAAATTTTTGACAAAATGCAAGGCAAGTTAATCTTTGATCATGTTATATTTTATAGGTAACGTCAATTAAAATTCACACATAATTTCAAAATAAACAATCACGTATTTACTTAGTCACGATACCATTTATGAGACATAAAAAAGAAAAATAAATTAACCCGGCAAAATTCTCTACTCGATACTCTCTTTGCTTCTCTCTCGTCATCTTTTTCTATCTTCACTTTTTTTTTTTATACACTTAATTGTCTTCCTTGTGATAGGTTTGATACGCTCTCCAACTCAATCTCTCACCAAGATTAAAATTACATCAACTGATCCTTTCAAAAATTATTATAACGCCACTCATTTTTGACAAAATGTGAGTCCGATCCCTCTTTCATGCATGCAACAAAGAATGTGCCAATATCTCTTTTTACATTTTTTTTTAAATTTTATTATTTTATATTTTTTATGAGCATGCAATGCCATAAGAAACTTTAGCATTGTGTTTATCATTTTATTTTTAGATCAAAACTTTTTAAGTTTTTGATTGATTGTCAAACAATATTATACATATTCAACCATACAACGTATCTAAAATTTTATATCAATATTTTTTAATTTAACTCAAATAAACAAAAACTTTGATAAAAATTTATCATCTAAGACATCATTTATGAAAAAATATTTGAATAGACGAAGATAAAAAAAAATAAAAAATTTAATAAATATCGACTTTGAAGCTTTGCATTGACAATAAAAATATTTTAAACAATTATATAAAATTACCTTCGCAATCCAAATATATAATGCACATCTACTATTTAATAAGAGCAAACCAAGAGAGAAAACAATAATAGAATTCTATATAAAAATATGAAACATCTATAAGGAAACCCTAAAAATGAAAGTTTTAAATCAAATCAAACTTAAATTTATAAAAACGAAAAATTGATAATACTTTATTTTATCAACTTAACCAACTTCCTTCAAAAAAATTATCCAAATATATAGATGAATTAAATTAAGTAAGTTCCTTAACATTTAACTTCAAATATGAAAAATATTCATATAAAAAACAAAAAGTAGACAATAAAAATCAATTAAAGTAAATGATTAAAATATAGACTTGCATTAAATTATAACCTAAGCAAGCATGCATTAAGCATTAATTAACTTTCAACTAATCAAGAGCTCTACAAAACTATCATTGTTACTATCATTAAAATAAAATTAAATCAACCATTACCCAAAATTAACAATTCTATCAAAAATCAAGATCAATGAATAAAAATCAATTAAAAAAAATTTACGAATTTAATCTAACCTCTTGGCAAGTGAAATTATTTTCATCAACAACATCAACAAACCTAACAAATTCTCTTATAGCATGTGTTAAAATATCCCAATGGGTAAAAACTAATCCAAAAACTGATCCAACAATCTGGAAAAACAAAAATGAAAAATAGATAATATTTCACTTTATCAACTTAGGTAACTAATACATGAAAAATTTTAACTAAGTAGAAAGAAGAAAGATAATTGCCTTTTTTAGTGTAAGTGTTACAGGTAGGGATGGCATCGGGTCGGGTTCGGGGCGGGTTTTGCTCACCCCAACCCGACCCGATTTTATGCTCATCAAACCCGATCCCGACCTCAACCCGAATTATTTTAATACCCGACTCCGACCCGAAATTAATAAAATATTATTTTTTAAAATATAAAATATTATTTTTTAAATATAAATATTTAAAAATATCATTATATAAATATATATGTAAATAAATAATTAATTAATTAATTAAAAAATAATTTTTTTAATAATATCGGGTTGGGTAAGATCGGGTTTTAAGCATACCTGAATCCGACCCGACCCCGATTATTACCTAAATTTACCTGACCCGACCCCAACCCGAAACCTGAAATTAAAAAAAAAATCTAACTCTATGAGATCGAGTCGAACCGAAACCCGTCGGAGACGGGCTTGATTGCCGTCCCTAGTTACAGGTGATGATAAGAGCTTCTCTATCTTTCTTTTCCTTCTTCTCCTCTGTCTTAATAACCTTTTTTTGTCTTCTCATTTTCTTCAAGAGCAACTCTTTCTTATCAAAGTAATGGCCTATCCCAGCTCTTTTTTATTTTCAAATAAAGAATAACAGTTTCCATCAAACTCCTTTTTTTTTTAACAGAGTAATAACATCTATCAACTTTTTTTTTCTATAAAAAAAATCTTTTCAAAAAATTTTCAATAAGAGGAATAAGCTTAAAAAAATTAATGTATGAATAATTAAAAAAATAAATTACTTTTTTTTTCATTCAATAGTTGGATTTCCGTAAAAATTTTAAAAATAACAATCTAATCTAATCTAATCTAACTGTATATTATTTTTATCTTAACAATCTTGAAATTATGACACATATTACTTTTATTTAAAGCTTGGCCTCTAAGTTTTTATTCACATGCATGCTCTATAATAAAAAATGCTGTTAAATAAATCTGTTTAAATTGTAAGAAAAAGTCAGCATTTGCATCATTTACATACGGATTCTTTTCACACCCTTTTAGTTTGACGTGTCTTCCCAACAAGACTTGCTTTGTCAATGTCGAAAAGCTCGAGAAGTCAAAGATCAAACACTTTTACATAATTAGAATAAAAAATTTTAAGATCAATTTCAAGCATTGATTTCTTTACTTAAAATGATTTCCAGCATTGATTTTTCAGTACCATACATATATTCTAATCCAAATGTCATTTTTTTCTTCCCTATGAATAACAGTCTCTCATTTTTTTCTCTTCCCTCTATGTTTCCTTCTTTCATAGCATGAAGTTGCCAGAGAAACTCTGCAATCGCTTGCATTGACTTGTCCACCATTGATTTCTTTTGCTCCATAATTCATAAGATTTAGTATTAGGTAAGGAGATCTTCTGGTATCTACCTTCTTGGCTTTGCTTCTGTCTCATTTTTCCCTAATTTTAACCAACATCTTCAGTATCAGCCCAGCTACAAGAAGGTAAACTATCTGCTCTTAATCTTTATTTCATCTTTGGACATGTTACACAAGTGAATTTTACTTTGAATTTGATCTAATTTTAAAAGGAAATAAAAATATAATCTGGAGCTTAGCTCGGTTAGTTCATATAGTCACCTTTGAGATTCAATTCCTAGCACCTCAAACCCCTTCTTATATTCTTAGACTGCGACCTTCTTTGTAAAAAAGACATGAACATATGGACATATGTAATCAAAATATCAGATGCTTATATATAAAGTATTGTGAATTTAACAAAATTTGATTGAAAGAGAGTTTTTTTTCATTAACCTTTGCCAATTTATTGATTGTTTGTCTTTGTTACAATTATACTAGAATATAACAAGTCAAGTGAGCATTTTTCATATACATTAGTTTAATTTGCATGGCAGGAATTAATTAGCTTACATATGGAGCTTCTGGAGCCTATCTTTGAAATGATAAAGTGCATAGGGGTTCCAACCTGCAGATACTTGAACAATCACCTAAAGCTTGAAGAAAATGTGAATGAACTTAGAAGAAGATTGGATGATCTAAATGTTAGGAAGCAAGATATAGAATCGAGACAGGAAGCAGAGGTTCGTTGCAGGAAAGTGGTAAGGAAAGAAGTGGAGAAATGGCTTGATGATGTAGAAAGGATGAACACTGAATATCAGAAGATTGAGCAGAAGATACACTTCGTGTCATACTTCTGCCGGGGTCGCCTAGGAAAAATAGTTTGTAAAAAAATCAAAGAAGTGAAGGAAATTTACCAACAAGGCAATTTCCCTGAGGGTGTGGCAATTGATAAGCCTCCTGCCAACGGGGTGACATTTCAAACAACAAGTTTAGAAGGTGAAACTTATGTGAAAGAACAAATTTGGAGATACTTGATGGGCAATGAGGTTGGAATGATCGCAGTATGTGGAATGGGTGGCATAGGGAAAACTACCATTATGAAACATATCAACAATCAACTGTTGAAGGAGACTGACGGGTTCGATAAAGTGATTTGGGTCACTGTATCCAAAGAACCCAATGTAGTCAAGTTACAAGAAGATATTGCACGAGCTTTGAGTCAGTGTCTACCTCAAAATGAATTGGAACGAGCAACTGAACTGATGGATATCTTGAAAGCAAAGAGATATGTGCTGATCCTAGATGATGTTTGGAAACGGTTTTCCTTATTGGATGTGGGAATCCCTGAGCCAACATTACATAATGGAAGCAAATTGGTAATCACTAGCAGATTGATTGATGTTTGTTTATCTATGGGTTGTCAGGTGATCAAAATGCAACCTCTTTCAGAAGAAGAGTCCTTGAACTTGTTCTTAAATCAAGTAGGACGTAGTGTCGTAGAAATTCCTACTTTAAAAGAAATTGTCGAGCATATTGTTCAGCATTGTGGAGGTTTGCCGCTTGCCATTGTTACAATAGCTGGTAGCATGAAAGGGGTGGATGATGTCCGAGAGTGGAGGAATGCACTAAACCAGTTATGCGGACGTTTGAACAGTGTGAGAGGATTGGAGACTGAAATATTCGAGTGTTTGATGTTTAGTTATGAACGTTTGGGAGATCCAAAAATCCAAAATTGCTTCCTTTATTGTGCATTGTATCCTGAAGATCATGCAATCAAAAGAAGAGAATTGATAGAAAAGTGGATAGATGAGAAGCTCATTGATGAATGTGAGAGTAGACAGATAATGTATGATTGGGGCCATAGTATTCTAAACAAGCTTGAAAAGCATTGCCTATTGGAAAAGTGTCAAACCCGGAGTTTGTTTCCTGAGGAAGGAGTCAAGATGCATGATGTTTTGAGAGACATGGCATTGTCTATAAAAAGCATTAGCCCTCGATTCATGGTGAAAGCTGGAATGCAATTGAAGGAGCTACCTGGTGAGAATGAATGGACAGATGATCTTGAGAAGATTTCTCTGATGCATAATTCAATATCAGAAATTCCTGATGGCATATCACCAGAATGTTACTTTTTATCAACTTTGTTGTTGCAAGAAAATGGTGAAGTGAAGAGGATTTCAGAATCTTTCTTTGAGCACATGCCCCGGCTAAAAGTTTTAGATCTTTCATATACTGGTATTTCTGAACTCCCCAATTGCATCTCCAATTTGGGAAACCTTGTTTCACTTGTTCTTAGAGGTTGTGACAAGCTTAGACAAGTGCCTTCATTGGCAAAGCTTAGAGCATTGAGAAAGTTGGACCTTTTTAATACAGCTATCAAAGAGGTCCCCCATGGAATAGAAATGTTAGTAAACCTGACATATCTTGGTTTATATTCAGAGAGTCTAAAGGAGCTACCAAAAGGATTACTGCTTAAGCTTTCTCATCTCCAATACTTGTCAACCACATTGTGTGTAAAAGGAGAGGAAGTAGCCAAATTGAGGAACCTGGAGACTTTTGCAGGTCTATTTCTTGACTTCCAAGGCTTTCAGAATTATGCCAAGTCTATACCAGATCGACAATGGCCTATCAATTACGTGCTTGGAGTGGGATCAGATTGGCCCCTTGAAGTCACTTTCAATTCGGTCAAGTATTTTGAGAAACCTGAATTTTATAATGAGATAAATTGCATAAATTGTGAGATAGGGAAAGAAGATCAGGTATCACTTCCAAATAACCTTCACTCTCTGAATATAAAGAAGTGCCACGATCTCACAAGCTTGAGCAATATCTCTTTGTTCCATCAAGCAAATGAGTTGAAGAGGTGTTATATTAGTGCATGTGAAGGGATGGAGTGTGTGCTTGACATGTCATTATCATCTTACAACTCGCTTCATAACATTGAGTTGCTATTCCTCAAGGAATTATGCAACTTGCTTGAACTTGTGAGAGTAGGGGTAGCAGTATCATCTGCATCCCGACCTCGTACGCGGCCAGCCATCTTCTCTTCCCTCAAAGTATTTATTTTGGTAAAATGTTTGAAGATGAAGAAGTTGTTTACACTTGAGCTGTTGCAAGGCCTTCAAAACTTGGAGGAAATTGAAGTTAGAGACTGTAAAGAAATAGAGGAAATAATAGCAGCAGAAGGAAATGGTGCCAACATACCAACAACAGTTGTTCTTCCCAAATTAAGAGAATTGTGGCTGATTTGCTTGCCAGAATTGAAAAGCTTTTGTAGGATTGAAGTTATGATTCAAGCAGATTCTATTCAGTACCTTTGGATATCAGGATGTCCCAAACTGAAGAGGATGATCCCTTTGTTTCTTCCCTTTCTTGAAAATAGGCTGCCATCTCCCCCTCGCACCCTCAAAGAAATCTCAATATGGCCTAGAGAATGGTGGGAATCTGTGGAATGGGACGATCCTAATGCTAAGGATGTCCTTTCTCCCTTTGTTTCCTATAAGAGCTTTTGATTGAAAAGCTCCACTCTTTGTTTCTCATCTGTTTTGTAAATTTTAGCTGAATGTACAATGTGGCTTTAGATTAAGCATTTCATTCATCCTTAGATGTAGTCCAGTATGCTTTACCAATTACTAACAATAATGCCTCCTCCATGATTAGGAGGTGTAAACGAGTTGAGTTGAATCATACATTTTCAAGCTTGACCACAGTTTAAATTAACAACTCGAGACTAGAAGCTTGGCTAAGCTTCATTTTTTATGCTCGAGCTTGACTCCCTTCCCTTTCCTAACCAAATATTGTGTAAGAGAAAGGAAAACATATATAAAGATAGCAGCCTGTCCTATCCTACATGACATGAGACCACACATCCGCACCAGGCAATCTTAGTTTTCACTTCAATTTTTAACTGCGTCCCCATCCGATTGTCATCCATGGATTTCTGACAAAGAAGAACTCTATCACCAACTCTAACACCTTTACAGTGAACAAATTCAACCCAACCAACAGAAATGGCAGATGATTCTCTGCTCTTACTTTGCTCAATGAAGCATGGAAAACTCCAAGCTTCTCCAGCATCATCGATTACATGCATATTGAAAATTTCACCATCCTTAAAAGGAAGAACACCCATGGAATTTAAAGGGATCAATAAAAGTTCTTCTACATCCTTGGTTTTTAGTATCTCTGAGAACATTGCCATGCCGGTTAAGCTGTCAAGGTTTTTGAAACTGCAAATATGAGAAGTCAATGAAGTTTTGCTGCTTCCTCAGATTCTGAAGTTGCTCCCTTTGGCTCCTTGTTAGTTGCAGATGTTATAAGAAAAAACTGTTACTGTAAAAAAAGGAAAAATCAGTAATTTTTACATGCATCTCGTGGATTAAAATGACCAGGAATGAAGTTATATTTAGTAAGATTCCAAAGAATATGGCTAAAAAATGTTTACTTTACCTTCACCTGGTCTAGGTGAGCTAATACATTTCTTCTCAAAAGAAAGTCCAGGAAACTTTAACATGCAAAATTATTTGTGATCAGCATCAGAAGAAATTAACATCCAATCATCAACGAGTCAAAGATGAACATTTGCTAAAGTTTGTTTTATTGGCTGATTTCCCAGCAGGTTTAAACATTCATGGTTTAAACAAGAGAATGGAAGAAGAAGAAAAAGATACTAGATGAAAATAGATTATATACAGAGTTATGCTAGAGCTAGCTCTGTGGTAACATGAATCGAACTATTCATTCGCCTTTTACCGGTGTAAAAAAAAAACAAGAAAATACAGAGTTATGCCACATGTTTTATCAAAATTGATGGAACATTTGCAATGTAACGTTCTTGATCTTCATCTACTGTATGATGATTCGTGAATCCTCTTTACTGCAGTCATCTCCGGTTTGATAGTGTAAGATATATAAATAGGCATAACTAAGGCAGAGATTGTAATGATACATATTTCTGGAGAAAAGAAATAAAGAAAAGATTCTAACACATCTGTTCATACAAATGAGAATCGAGAAGGAACATTAACTAGGTAAAAATATTATGAGTTCTGAACTAATAAGAAACAGAGAAATGGTTGTAACTAAACAAGGCATCAATGTACAAAGAAATTTCAAGGCAATACCCCATAACTCCTTTTTCTATTTATCTTTCTCCTTTTTTTCTCCTTTCAGACTGAAGTGAATAATAAATAAATACATCAATGAACTAGTATTAATACTCCATGCAAAGCAATAATAATAGATCTTATCAGTGAGTCAAATTTATCTGAATATTTATAATAAGAAAACATGTAATTTGCAACTTGAATTTGTCAAGGTTCTAGTTGTCACCTCATGTAACCAAGATTTCAGTGATTAAGCCAAGCAAAAACCATGCAAGGCAGATGAGAACAAATGCAAGCGTGGAACCTCAGGGATTTTGTTTCTGCAATGAAGTCACTTCCGTGACAAAACTTCAATAGAGTTTCCATCATTTTTTCTGAATATAAACAGATTACTTTGATTATCTTTATTGCCCCCCCTATCTCATTTACACTTAAACTCAGACCGCATGATCTTTATTGCCCTCCCTATCTCATTTACCTTAAACTCGGACGGCATGAATAACCACATGACCTTTGCACTAGTGCACATTTTGTATGAGGTCTCAAAGCACCTGAAAGTGCAATGCAGTCGAGTCCATCTTGAGCAGGCTGTAAGAACATCAATCTAAGAAGATATCAACAACCAGGAGCTGAAACTTACTCTGTTTGGTTTTTAGCAACATACAGGAAGTTCCTGATACATCACTCCAAAATCTTTCAGAGAGCCCGGTCCATGAGAATCCCTCTTTCCAATAACTTCCTCTAAGGTGTCATAAGGAGCAACAGCCACTGCCAAAAGCTGACAATCAAATTAATCCAGACCATATTCTGGTTGAAAAGTAGCTATTGAACAGCGTATAACTACCAATATAGTGCAGTAAAAATCAGCCAAGATAGCTTACCTCATCCCGTGGCCTGCAAAAAGTGCACAAGTGATAGCATGAGTACCTAAGAAGAAATGGTGGCGTAAGAGCATACACCCAAGAGGATTAACAAGAATTAGAAATAACTATTAAGAATTCATAATATCCCAGAAAACGAAGGTAACAAATAGCAAACCTCAGAACAAACTATCGTTGACTCGCCCCAACAATCTTTGCAAATGCTTGGTCCAGTTCTTCACCTCCCCCAGCTTCATCATAACCATAGCCAGTGCACCTAGCAAAGTGCTTGTTACGAAATAAGCATATGAACAAAAGCACCATGCCCTCCGGCATTATTAACAGATTAAATAATTGGACAATTGCTTGTAGAGATAGATATGCACATTATAATTGCCATGCATATGCATACATGGATCTACAATTGTATGCGCACAAGTGTGTGTACAATGGCATAAAGATATGCCTCAAAGATATGTCTAATAACATATTTAAGAAAAATCTGGTTTCTCAAATGCAGGGAACATGTAACACAAAAATGAAGCCAGGGCAGATGACCAGCCGCTTCAGATAAAATGTGTACTTAAATGAGATCCAACCCGAGAATTTTGAAAAGCTTTAAGAACAAAGGAGGAATTGCAAGCTACCAAATTATCCACAGCTCTGAATTCCAAGTACAGAGAATCCGCAGCTTTTGCAACCTGCCGTAGAGATAAATAAAGCAACTCTAGGTGTTAACACTACCAATTCTACAGTTCTGCAGCAATCAAAACTCGAACTAGGGCTGCTGGCACTTCAAAGTCCATGAAAAATTTAGTGCTTTTAGCAAATGATAGGGAATTCACATCAATGCAAAGTGTGATATTTCCAATCAAGCTTTCAAATCTTGATACAAATGCTAGGCTACATAGTCTTACAGAAATCAAAACTAGGAATTTGTGCTATCACTTCAACTTTATAAATACTTGAATATGAATCCTATTAGCAACCAACAAGGTACAAGCTATGTTTGATTGCCAAGTAAAAGCAGTTGAATTCTCCACATTATATACTAAACCAGACTCAGAATCAAAAGATTCAACCTTGAATGCTCTTTACATTGTTTCTTGAATTAAATGTTTCAGTTTAAATCAGTAAATAGAGTTCCTTCAAATTCCTTAGCAAACAACCAAAAAACCATCAACTTGGCCCGACAATTAAATCTTAACAAAACCAAAATTTTCTTTCTTACAGTTTCTTAGGAAAACCAAACCTCAACAAAGTTTCTTCCTTTCCCATCAATCAAGCAAAGAACTTCAACTGTTTACAGTTACAATATTTGAATAATAAAATTATCAATTAATGTGATACTTAAAAGAGTTGTTTATTTGCCACATCCATTTAGAGCTAGTTAAGTTGAGAGTGAATATATATTAATTAACAAATTTATTATTCAAGTACTATATTAAAATTTTTTAAAATTAAAATACTATATTAAAAATTTCACTGCAATTAAAAAGTCATTCACAATATTAATTTATAAAAAAAAAAACCAAATTAATAATCCATTTTGAAGATAAAAATTCTTTAATTACATAATTTTCTTGTACATACGGATGTCAATAGGTGGGGTATAGGAAAGGTAAAGCATTCTTCATTTTTAGTTTTTTATATTATATATATTTTTGTATCAACGGGTATTTTAAATCTATCTCTATTCACATCCTTACAAGTATTTAATAAGTATGGATAAATTCTATACCAAGAGTTTATTTTTAAAAAATAAAAAATAAAAAATATTTTTTTTTAACTTTTTTATTTCTATGTTATATATTTAGGTAATTTTTTTATAAATATATATATTAATATATATTTTTCAATAAAAATATATTAATTTTAATTAATCTAAAATAATAATTTATATTATTTAATAAAAAATCTATTTACTAAATATATATAAATATATATATGTAGGCTATAAGTACGAGACAGATATTATATTATCCATTTCTATTCTCATACCTAATAAAAATTTAAAATTATACTTAACCCAATTTTCATTTGAATAAAAACTCAAAATTTTCATTAGATATGAGTAAAATTGATATATTTGCTTATACAATTACTTCACAAATTTTTTATTTTTCCTCTTTACGAAAAGAAACAATATCTTTTAAAAATTATTAAGTAGCATTAATAACCATATTAAATAATTGTTTTTTTAATGAGATTTATTATAATTTTTTTTTAATTTCAAACATTCACATTCCTCATCACTTACTATTCACCATTAGAGTTTAACAGCATACAATATAAAGCAAAATGGAATGATCAATGATAACATATTTAAGCTTTTTTGAAACAATTGAAACATGTTAGATTTTGAACTCCATAACGAGAGGTAAATCACCTTTCATCTATAAACCTTGACAAATAGCATATGAACACGTGCTAAGATAGATTTTGTCCGTAATAAGTAATGAGTGACGTCATTTTTTACCTACTTATTTTCTTAATTTTTAGATTCCATATTAAGACAACTAAGTAATGAGATTGTATTTGGGCCATTTTGAGTAGATTATTCAAATCAGAATAGATTGATTTGACAGATTAGATTTTATTTTTTGAAAGAGATATCACTAGTTTTACTGCTTATAAATTTAACTCACCTACTGTATAATTCTGTTGTGGAGATAAAATTTACAAAGTGAGTAATTTTTACAAAACATAGAAACCTCCGAAATGAGATTTTGCTTATCAAAGATTAAATCAAGGTAAATTTCTCACTTTTTTTCAATTTTGATTGCATAGGTTATTCAGAGTTATAATATAATTAAAATTTTTTAAGATTATCATAAATGTTGTTGTTTTATTGTAAATATTAATTTCTTACATTTGCTTAAATCAAGTTTGTTTTTGATTTGTTAAAATCTTTGGGGCAAGGTTTTCTTATTCACCATTTGCATGAATGCTAAAAATTAAATTATTGGTGCATAGACAACTTCTTATTTTTTATCTACAAATTTCACATTTTTTTTAAAGTGAACATCAAATATGTCATATGAGAAACAATTTAGTTACAATTTTCCTATTTGCAAAGAGAAAACATAGGTGATATTTGAGTTGCAATTATTTGATCATTCATTCTTATATTAAATTTGCCAAAATGAGAAACAATTTAAATTAGTGATGATTAACATGTAAAATTTATGTTTTTTTTTTTAGTAATTTCCAATTAATTCATTATATATGAATAACTAGAACACAAGGTTTAGAAAGATCTATCAAATCCCCTTTACCATCATGTAATTAGAAATTATGATGTATTTTTTTTTTAGATATATAATAACCTTTGTTATATATTATTTATATTTTTAAAAAAACCCTTAAAAAACCTACAAGCTATTTTTCATATTAAATAAAAAGGCCTTTTTAATCAAATTGAATGAACATTATTATTTGTTCAAGTGAAGTGGACTAAATCTTGAAGAAATGAAAATATCTATTGGTTTATTTGTTAAATAATGGCATTTATTTTCATTTTAGACAAAAAGGTAAGATGTTTTGGTGCTATTGGTTTAACTTTGTTTTAAGAAATAATTTAACAAATAAGTACTATGAATGATGCTATAGGTTAATTCTGATGACATAATAAGTTGTCCTTTTAATCATTTCTTGATATATTGAAAATAAATTAAAATTCCCCACATTTCTTCTCAATTTTTTTAGGTTAAGGACAATATTGTTACAAATATAATTTTTTTGAAAGGATTAGAAATATAAATGTTTGGGGTTTGATTTATAAGAATGAGAATTTCAAGGATCCATTTGTAATTTCTCTAAAACGTTAAGGTTTTTCATCTAATTTTTTTCCTAACTTTTTTTTTTATTTCTTATATCAAACTCTTGACTTTTTTTTTTCTTGCCATCCATCTCAATTAAATATTCTTATTTTATTATCCCATTCTATGAGTAATTAAATTTTTCCCCTTATCTTTGTTAATCATAAAAAAAAAAAATACTGTTTGATTGATGTACCCAATGAAAAAGGAAAATTACTATATAGTAATAATAAACAGTCCTAGTTTATTTCTCAATGGAAAATTGGTTTCTTAACCCTTATTGTGTTTCTCACATTTGATATACTTTGAAATATTCCCTTAAAATATATTAAAAAAATTAATCAATAAAATGAGATATGCATCATTCTTTTAATTATTTAAAAAGATTAAAACAAAAAAAAAATCTTGATAAAATTAAAAAATATTTGAACTTAGTTAAAAGGTTAAAGAGTGAAATTTGAACATAATTATAAAATTAAATCGTAACGCTTCTTTTATATAAAAAATAAGAAAAAAAAGTTAATTATATCCTATAATCTTTTAATTTAATCTTAAAAGATTTTATTCCAAACCAAAATCTAAGAAACTCTTAACATTTATCAATCTTCTTTTGGCAAACTCCCCATCTCTCTCTCTTCCTTCTTTTCCACGTTTTGGCTCTCTTGCATGCTTGTTGACATGTCTTTGATGAGTTGGTTTCGGTTTTTTTTACATAACCAGCAGAGATTTGATACCCTCTCCAGACATTAATTGCATGTCTTCATATAAGGTTGAATAATTTAGGACACACACACACACATACACACATATATATATAAACATACCCTTTTGTTTGCTTTCTAATATGCTTGGTTTTTGGGGCTGTTTTTATTGTATTTTCAATATTGTCTCTGGTGTTAGGGTTTTTGTTTTGTTTTGTTTTTTTTAGGTTGTCAAAGATGTTCACTGAAGAAGAGTTGAAAGGGATGGATAGCTTCAAAAGAGGTTCTGATTTCATTGAGGTTAAGTGTGGCTGCACAAGCAAGAAATATGGTGATACCATTGGGAAGCTTAGGGTTTTTACCAATGGCCAATTTCTGATATCCTGCGAATGCACATCGACTTGTGATGGAGGTAAATTACTATTTTTTTTTCTTTCCTAATTTATATATTATTGAATCATACAATTCTTTATTTTGATTTTGTTTGTGAATGCAACTTTGTTTGTGGTTCTTTATAATTCTATGAACTTTGTATTTAAAAAAAAATTACAACCTAATAGAAGAGAAAAGATATTAGTATTCGAAATATAAATTTATCGAATTCTTTATGAATTTTATTTTCATGACATGTTCATTTATGTAATAACATAACCTTTTAATTTATTTTCACCTTCAATTTTAAAACTTTCCATCCATTTCATAAAATTAAAATTTTCAAAATCATAGAGCTGTTTATGGAATTGTTTCCAATTACTAAACGAGCAATGCCAAATCTCTTTTTTTTTTTCTTTCTTTCTTTTATTATGTTCTATATAGTCATTAAGGCAAGTTAATCACTTTAGCCTGATTGATAATTGGAAAATCAAGAGTTAATGAAAGCTTCAAGTTATAGTTCGAGTAAGTTGTCTTGCCTCTGGTAATCAATTTTGTCCTGGTTTCATCAAGATTATCAATGCTGGAAATCTAACTATGTCAATAACTCAACAAAGTCTATCGAAAGCTCAATATCTCTTCTAGTTTCATCACTCTTGTGCATAAATTTAGTACTTATAGAATCCCAAGTTCAGCTCGATTAGATCATACAATCACCTTTAAGAAGTGATATCAGTAGGTCCAGGATTTAAATTTTAGCACCTGCAACTCAGCCTTCTCAATATATCAGTATGCTGCAACTTCCTTTGTAAAGAAAAAAAAAATAGTACTTGTGTAGTTGAAGTTGCAGCTCTTCCATACCATTTTTCTAACCAAATGATAAGGGAACTCTTGATAACCAGAGAGACTGACTCCCAATGATTTCGAAAAGCACTCTGGAAGGGAAGGAACCAGGAAATGGAAGAAACACATTTGGGTGTTCATGAAAAATAAGAAGGTTCCTTTATGGAGAACTGTTCTCCTGAAATATTACAAACATGCATCAAATGGAGCAAATGGGCTTAGCACCATGCAGTCTAAACGCCTTGTTCATCGTGATGAGTTCATTTGTTGTTCAAGATGCAACAAAGAACGCAGGTTTCGTCTCCGGACTGCAGAGGAATGCAGAATTTACCATGATGCTTTAAATGCAAGAAGGTGGAGGTGTGATAACTGGCCATATGACAAGTAAGTTTCAACATCAGTAGTGATTTTAAACCTATCGCTTTCATGTTTATTTTTTATGCCGTTTTCATATTATGTTAGGGTTTCGTCTTGAAGAAACATTAAAACACATCAACACATTGCATAATCCATTTCCAGATAGATAAATTCCTGATAGCTTTGCAATTTTTGGTTCATTTTCTTTCAGCATCACCTGCAAAGATGCTGAAGAGCGAGCAAGTAGGAAAAACTGCAGAGGCTGTCCTCGATCTCCGACCTGCAAAGGTTGCACAACTTGTGTGTGTTTTGGGTGCCTCAAGTGTCGCTTTGTGGATTGCAAGTGTCGCACTTGCGTTGATTTCATGCAAAATGCTGAACCTTGAGCTAGGAACTACACTTCCTATCTGTGCTACAATGCTCCAACTCTCATTTCACCAGCAAGAAAAGGAAAAATATGATCGATTAGACTTCTCTGAACTGAAGTTATGTTAAAATAATGTTTGTTGCAGGATTGTAAGAACTTGGCTGTTCTATTTCTTTCCTTTCCAATAATTCTTAGCAGGCAACTGGACTAAAGGTTTTCTTTGATAGTGAGAAATGCTATCAGTTGGCACATTTTCAGTTTTTGTTACTAATGAAGTAGTTCTCATTTATGCAACTTGTTTCTGTGTTTTTTTTTTTTTTTTTCTTGCATATTTTTTACAGCTTGTTTCTTTATCTGTTTTCTTGCCATGCTAGCCGGATACTATCTAAGTATAATTGCATTAACTAACTAAATTAAATGTTAATTTTTATTTCTAAAATTTTCTATTAAATAAATTTTGCAAGAATAAGAACAATTGAGATATTCACTTAACATTGGTATTAAGTATTTTTACTTATCTTTTATTTTTTTTTAATTAAGTAAATTTTGAGATAAAAAATTTCATAAATAAAAATGACATAACAAAAAAATTTTCAACCCACAACAACATGCAGATATCTCCACTTAATTGAAATAAAATTTGATAATACAATCTAAATTTATGATAGAGACGATTAGATAAACGAGGATTAGACTATTTGAAAAGCATCATAAATTAGCAGTTTTAAAGCCAAAACCCTCTCTTTGGAAGACATAGAACCCCAATGATCCATTCATGACATACAATTGAGCAGGCACAGACAACTGAAATTGAACAAATTAAGACACATGACATCTTTCTTAAGCTTTCCATTATAGATATGTGGTTAGCACCATATCCAACCATCAAATTAGCATCAATCAAACTCAAAAAGTCTTCATATTGGTTCCTCCAATGTTTATTAGAGAACAGCAAAGAAAAAAATCAAACAATAGTACGACAAAAATGCATGATCATGAACATCAAAATTAAACAAGTTCACAAGAAATTACCTTTCCAAAACTTTTCAATGAATTACAGCTTCTTAACGGATTTGAACCCAAACAGTAAAAAAAACTACAAAGAGAGAGAGAGAGAGAGAGAATAGAATCATGCACACGTAGGAGAAAATTTTACTATAGACAACATGCAAGATACAACTACAACACTGGCCAAAAAAAAAAAATACCAAATACAAGTTTTAACATGGAGCAGCTTATAGAAATACATGACATTTTCAATCTCTTTACTATGCTCCCTAGTACATTAAGAATTTCCAACTGGAAACTGCTACAGCTACATGATGGACCAAAAGGTCCCCGAATTAGCCTTCAATTTGCTCATCCAAAGATACAAAAATGCGCTTCAGCTAAGAAAGAATTGAGGACTTCTTCTAACTCGGACAACATCATTACTATTGAAGTCAATGAATAAACCTACCTGGCTTGATTATGTACACAACCATAAACCAGAGAAGACATACTATCCTTCCAGCCTTCCTCTCATGGAGCACTAGTATGCAGCACTGGATTTAATTCTAACAAAAAGTACACAAAACTTTAGTGCAATGACACAAATAGCCTGTCTAGACTGTGTTTCACAGTGGAGCAGACATGCGATTCCTGCCCCTACCTCTTCTTGCATTAGATATGCTAGTAACCAACGAGTTATATATGTTTCCAAGGGCATTAGCTCCCATAAGCTTTGATCCGATATTATTTATCAAATATACCAACTTACTTTCTTCATCTCCAGTCACCAACTGTAGCTCATGTGCCTGCTCACGGGATAATGTTGTGTACAGCTGCAAGGGTTGATTTAATAGGGGTTCACAGCTTCTTTCCAAAACCTTTCTCGTATCATCTTTGCAATTATCAAAAGTAATTCTCAAGAGCCCCAACGATTTAGGGTCTTCTGTTAGTGGATTGAATACAAATGAGAACTTCCCAACTGCTAGATCAGGCCTCTTGAACAGATCCACCAATACTTCGCTGCTTGCTCCAAGATTCCGCTGCACAGACCTCCTCAAATTATTTTGGTGACCCCTTGTAGCACGGAGAATGCGTGAAGCTTCCCTTAGACCACTCAAATAGGCACCATGCATGGTGGCCGGGTATTGCCTAGTTGTGGCTTCACCAGCAAAGAACAATCTGTTCCGCACACTTTCTGCAAGTATGTCATAATCACAACCAGAGGACTGTACCCTAACATGAGAGTATGAACCATATGAAAGGGGATCATTTCCCCATCTTGTACAAATTGATTGTATAGGGTCAGGCACATCTACACCCTTTGGACCATATATACCTGTGGGGAAAAAGAATAAATTATTTGGCTGCTTTCCAAATGAAGAGACAGAAAATAACAGAGCACAAGCATGCAAAGAGCAAGAGAATATATAATCTGTTGACATTTGTTACAAATTCTTGGAAAAATATAAGAACCTCTAAGTTTGCTTAGTACACGATGGAGCAAGAGTGAAGGATCTGTGCGTTCAAATGTTTGTGCAGCTTCACCAGCCACCAGCGCAATCAACACTGGACCTCCGGAAACAGTATGGTAGCTGTAGAATAAAAAGAACTCCCCACGATTATTACTGGTATCATTGAGACATCCAAATGTGTCTAGGTCTTCTCCCCAAAAAACATGGGGGAAAACCATGGCAACTTTATTCAGGAGCCCAAAACCCAATCTCTCAATTGCTGCTAGCTTTCTCTGAGGTAACTCTGGTTCAAATCTAATGGTCTTTCTCTTCAAGACTCCAAGAGGCACAGTGCAAAGAACCATATCTGCTTGGAATGCTTGATCACCAGCAACAACCTCGACCCCTTCATTCCCATATCTAATAGCATCAACTGTTTTCCCATAGATTATGGGAATTCCATCACATAAAGCATTTATTAATCTCCAATTCCCTCCAGCAAGAAAGCAATGGTCTCCACCCATCTCATAAGGATCATCCTGGTCCCAGTAGGCAGCTGACAAGTCAGAAAGACATCCTGCATTTGCATATTCCAAATTAGCAAGATGCCATTCCAAAAGTTGCCTCTCCTCTGCACTTCTAACCGCGGCATACAACTGCCTGAGCTTTTCCAAAACTGATCCCAGAGAAATATGATTTGCAAATCCACCCATAATTTGTCTGAGTTCCACAACTTTGTCAAGCAACTTGTTAAAGATCATTTCAATCCTGGAATCAATTTCCTTATTGACAGGCGCCCCATCAGGTTTGTATAAGGGACAACTATCTCGGACCTTATGAAGTGGAATAGAAAGTTGCCTAGCCAGAACACCGAGAGGATTGGCATGGATACCAGTGATTACACTGCCACCAAGGTCCACAGCAGCAAGATTATCCTTCTTACCCATCTTTTGAGTATAAACTCTTCCCCCAGGTCTATTCCTCCCTTCCAAGACAACTACCTTGAAACCAAATGATAAAAGCTGTCTTGCTGCAGCCAAGCCAGAAAGTCCAGCTCCAACTATAATCACGGAACCCTCAGCAGCCTCCTCTGGGATGTAAGAGGAAAATGACGGTGAAACTCCAAAATTAATATACCCATTATACAGAAGAAAATCATAAGCTGCAGACATCAAATGTTCATATTCACCACTAACGGTTTCTTTTATCTGTCCCTTAGATAACCAAACCCGTACATTGCTCCTCCAACGAGCAAGAATATGATTCCTGACAACAATATAATCATTCTGCTCTTTTCCACCTAATTCTCTTACCACCCCTGCTTTAATTTCCTCCTCAAGCAACGCATCAATAGGGAACCCCAAAGATAATGCCATCATAGCCTCAGTTTCAGTTTCTTTCTCCAACTCCTCCTTTGTTCTATTCTTTTTCCTAAATGAACCACCTAAATGCTTCTCTATAAACTCATCCATCAAATTCTCATCGTAATTCTTCAAACCGGCCTTCTTCCTTAACGACCTCTTTGATACCAACCCTTCTGAAACCGGCGTCTCCATATCACTTTCTTAACAAAACCAACTTCTCAAAGTCCTTCAAAAACCATGAAAACTACGGATCCCACCAAAAGCACAAAACCAACTTTCATTTCACACAAAATCTAATATAAAGGCATTTCCTTGTCCCTACAAATCCCAAAGAACTAAATGAATTTGTCATCTAAAACAAACTAAAAACTAAATGTATTCTTTGGTCTTTTCACAATTCCAAGCAAAACCGATCAAGAATCTACTTGTATTTTATCAAAAAATTCAATCTTTTTCTCACTAAATTGAAATTAGTGACATTATTCAACAGTAAAATTCACAAAGATTCGACTCTAACAACAAAAACCCATTTCTTTTCTCACCAAATACAATAAAAATAACACAACAATTATTACAAAAAGAAATGAGCATAAAAATTAGAGCCTTGAACACTCAAATGTGTGCATAAAAAGTTGAGCTAAAAAATGGACGGAAAAAGGGATTGCAAGAGAGAGTTGACGAGGGGAGGGAAGAGTAGTGACTCACCTTTTTGGGAGAGCCGAGTTGACTCGTGATTTTGGGGAATTTTAGGCGGTTAGTGGAAGTTCTTGTTAGGGTTTTGCTTCAGGCGAAGACCTCGAGAACTGTAATTAAAAAAAAAACGTTGAATTTTAGAAAATTGGATTGGAGGGAATCGGAACGGTGAAATTGTGTTGGGCCTTCATTATTAAGTCAGGCCGGAATGACCCATTGATACATGGCCTTGATGTCAAAAAATTCAATTGGAAGTACCCAAACCCAAATTTCTTATATTTTGTACAATAATTAAATTTATTTTTTTCTTAAATTTAATTATAAAAAATTATCTCATACATTGGCTTTTTCAAATTTCACAAACAGAGTTATAAAAGTGACACATATCTTTAAAGTATATTTAAAAATTAAAAAAATTAATTAAAAAAATGAAATATATGGTGTTTTTTAATTATTTATATAAAATTAAAAATGTATTGAATTTATTTAAATGATTATAATATATTTAAAATATAAATAAAATACAAATTTATACTAACAAGAAAACCTATCCTATGACTGTTTTGTTTTTTAATTTGTTGTATATGTCATTAATGTCTTAAAAAAATTAAAAGGTAAATTTAAGCAGAGCAAAGACTAAAACTTTTGAATTTTTTAAGACAGACGATAAAAAGGAAGAGAAAACAAAAAGAAGGAGGAAAGAAATAATAGAAAAAAAAAAAAAACAAAACGATTAAGGGGCAAAAGGGAGAAAGATTGCCAATGGACTAACCCTTCTACAACTACCATCTCTAGACCTTTTAAAGTTTCAATCTCCTCCTTTTTTTCATTCCTTAAGTTTTTTTTTTATTTTCTTATTTTAAAACTTTTCTTGTTTTTTTATTTTGCCTTTAATTTTTCAATTTTTAAGGTTTTTTTACCTATTCTTTAACTTGCTCGATCGAAGTTTTTTTTTGTTATTCTTCCAATTTTAGAGTTTTTGGTGTTGAGCCATTCGATTTTCAATTGAAATTGCTCTTACTTTTTTCCATTAAAAAATTAAGATTTTTTTTTTTACGATGAAAGGATATATATAATATAAAGAAAGATAGTGAGCTCTAAGGGATTGAATGATTCGCCATCGCATGTAGTTGGGCCAATGAAATAGTATGGTGTAACAAAGCTTATATCGATGGCAGGTCATACCAAAGCGGATATACAAAAAAGCCGTGATTTGGAAAATATATATATTTAGAAATATTAGATTTTGTTTTCTAGGTATTGTTGATTTATTTATTTTTTGAAAATTATTGATAGTTTTTTGTAGAAGCTGACTTTATGAGAGGAAAAGGATATTTTTGACATAAAAGAAAAGGAATTCAAGAAAAAGATGAATAGGAAAGGATTTTATTTCTTAAATTTTCCTTTTGGATCCTTTGCTCCCTCTATTTCCTTTTTCATTTTCTCTTTGTTATTTCCTTTTCAATCTAATCCCATCTTTGACATCATCGACGGCTATTTAGAAAAATAATTTCTCCACCAAAAAGCTAATTCCTTAGAATCTTCCACTCAATGCCTCTGCTTCTTGATTGATTTTCTCTTTCAAAAGCTTTTCGGTTCTAAACTCGTCGATTAGGTAACATTTTACCTTGCATATTCCCTTTTCCTTTTTTTTAATTTCTCTTTAATTGTTTCTTCATTTAATGAAATCTTAACAAACAAACAAAAAAATTGAAAATTGGATTCAAAACAACTCAAAGAGGATTTACATAGAGTCAGATGTACTATAACCAATTCAAATGCCACTGCTTTTTTTTTTACCAAAGCTTAGGGTATATAATTTCATCTCTCTCTCACTTTTTTTTTTAAATTTTCATGACATTAGTTGATTAATTTGTAATTAGAATTGAAAAAGAGAGAAAATAATGTAAAGCTTTTTTCTTTTTAATCTTTTGCTCCCTTATAGAGTGACAGGTTTTGGTTGTGTTCATTGGATTGGTAACAATGGCAGAAGAGTTGGACAATGAAGCTCAATTTAAGGTTGCAAATCAATTGGAAGCCATTGTCATCTTTAAGAGTACAAATCACTCTATTATTTTGAAGGTATGCATATTATTTTACAAGTGTTTCATTGAATAAAATATTGAAATTTTGAACTTTATATGTATTTGCATTTTTTATTTAGTTGTTGGATTCTGATTATAGATTATTTTAGTTACTAAAATAAGATAGAAAAACAAAGAAAAATCCATTAAATCTCTATGTTAACAAGGAAATAATAGGCATTTTAATGGGCTCTTAATTGGTTTACAAATTGTTGATATTGTCTATATGATTAAGTTCGGGAAAGTAGGTAATTTCTTTGAAAAAAATCGAGTTCAAGAGAAAAGTAATCTTAAATGGGATCGTTAGAATAGTTTAACCTGGGGAAATGTTAGGATGTTTGGTACACTAGTTAATGGCAAAACAACTTTATTAACTACATTAGGAGACTGCTTAGGTGGGTGACTCAATTGAGCCATTACTTACAATGGCAAGCCTTTTTCCAATTCAATTCAATGAAAAACAAGATTTGTTACTCAAGATGATGTTTTTTACCCTCACTTGACAATGACTCCAAAGCATATAAATAAAAAATATATATTTAATTAATTAAAAATATTTTATTGGAAACAGATAATCAAAATTTGTGTAAAACCAAAAAAAAGCACAAGAGGTTTTATTGTAAGTGAACCTTTTTCTTTTGCCATGTCTATTTGCAAGCATGTACTTTTTCGTGACTTTTGACTTTATTGCATCAATTTTACAGGTATCTTTTGGTTCTTTGATTAGATTTTTGCCTTATCGCAATCTAGCTGCTAAATGAAAGTTGGTAGCTTTTAAATCATGGTTGAGACAAAAGGGTCTTTCATCTTACAACTTCACTTTTTTGTTTCATTTTTAATTCACATTTTTTCTTTTAATTTTATTTGGGTATCTTTATTTTTTTTATATTTTTATCAATTAGGCTTTTTTTTTTTGTAATGTAAGTGTTTACTTTTAAAATTTTATAGTAATGTCTGTTGATCCTTGTCTTTATCTCTTTATTGTATTCTTGATAAAAAAAACTACAAAAGGTATTGAATGAGAAGATTCTTTACTTTATTCTTGATTAGAAAACTACATAAGATATTCAACAAAAAGATTGATGATAAGTATGGCATGAATATGCTAGGCTCTTATTCAAGAAATCTTAATTATAATGCTCCATTTCTTTTTAGGGTAATAACTAGATTATAGATAACCTTTAATTGGTTGTTCCAATAAGTAGGCTTGATCAAAAAAATGTAATTGTATCAATAAAGCATTTATGTTGAGGATAGTATGTTAGGGTAATTGCTAGATTGATCTGCATTATTTTAGAATAATTTTTAGTTTTTTTTTTTTTCTAATTCAAATAAAGCTGGCTTTGTTGTTTGTAAAGAAGAAAAACATTTTATCAACAATCATTTGACATTTACAATCAAGCATCAAAATGATCCACTGACAAAATTTGTATGAATTGTTGGATTTGATATCAAACCATTTAGGTTAAATTTTTTTTCTTCTTTATCGTAAAAGTATAGATGTTGCCTTTAAATTCTCTTTCTAATTGTATTTAGACACACTATATATATATATATATAATATATTGCTATTTATGATAAAGGCATATATAGATGACCTGTTATAAATTATGAAAAACTAAGGAAATAAGGCAATGTTTCTAGATATGGCATGAGGTACTTAAAACTATTATAGAATATTTCTACCACATTTTTACTAACCGATTGCTTTAATGTTTGTTTTCTAAATTTGCAATTTTCAAGTTTCGATTCTTAATGAATTTTTAAAAGTAAGTGTTTAATTATTGTGCAATTTATTATTTACCAACATTCATTAATTTAGTGTGACCAAAATTGGTTGGTCAATTCTTTATGAAACTTAAAAATTATATGTTAGTCTAGAGAATATTGAGAAGTATTTATTTATTGAAAGAAATTATGATCCCTAGAAAGGCTTTCAACATGTTGAAGAAATGGTCATAATATTCATGTTCGAAAACCTACCTATTAAATACAAAAAAAATAGTCACCATTAATCTTTTTTATTTAGCTGTGATTGGTCACATATGTGAATTTATCTATTTTAAGATTATCCTAAGTTTAAACTAAGGGTTTTTTAAAAAAAAAATTCTGATCTATATCAATAGAACTAAGTTCGAGATTCAATTATATGTAAAAAGGGTTTTAGCAACCCCACAACACCTAAAATTAGTACCAAATTAATCACATATTATATAGTTTAAACTTTAATCAATGATGTTTTTTTATTAATTTCAATATTTAAATATTGAAAAAAAGTTATTATGTTTTCACAAAAAAAAAAAATTTCTCACATCAAGAGTATTTAAGATAAACTCGTTATTTACTTGAAAAAGTTTAGTCATCGGATTCATTAAATATCTTGTCAAATTAAATCTCAATTCCTTTTATTTATTTATAAAATATTAATTACAAAAAATGATAAAAGCATATATACAAGTTTCTAATCATACCATAATATATTTTCACTTTTCTAAAAAATATAATTCAATTTTTATTTACATCATTTAAATAAATTAATAAGCAAAAGGAAAAATAAAACCTAAATAAATAATAAATAATGAATAAATAAATATAAAAATAAACAAATAAGTACAAAAAACTAGCAAATAAATTTATCTCATAAAAAATATATCACAATTTTTACCGCAAACCACATTAAAAACAAATAAATATAACACCATAAAAGAAAGTGTGCCTAACCAATGCTTCTGGACCAACCTGAAATAAAGTCTACTACCAAGAAAAATTTTCTTAACTTTAATATTATGTATATGGCTATTTCTTTTTTTGCTCGATGATTTTTCTTCTCTTTCTAACTGAGAACTTCTTCCTCAAAATTCAAAATTTTGTATTGCTTCTTCTTTTGCTTATTGATTATTTGATTGTTGGTTCTTTGGATGTTAGTAATTTCTTACTGAGAACTGGGCACTTTATATAAAGATTGAATCCATTTCCAATTTAAAAAATTTTAATGCCAATTAAATTTATCAAGATTCTGTCAAAATTTATTTTCCTTCTTGTAAAATCTTAATTCCCAAGAATTACTCATATCAAACTCAATCTTTAAATTTCAAATCCAAATAAAATCACAATCTTTAAAAAAAATCACAA